CAGACTATATATATATATATGTATTTAAATTTTTTTTGTTGAGATTTTCAAAATTTTTTTAATTTTTCTTCTTTTTTTTCTTTAATCTTTGTTATTTTCCCTGTTTTCTCTACATTTTTAACTTTGAATAATTATTTGCAAATTACTGCAGAAACAGACTCCGTACGCTACAACACATAAAAATAAATTTTGACCTTTCAATTGACAGAAGCTTTTATTAAAATATTGATTGTGTCGGACTACCATAAAAATCTTTTTTTTCTTCAAATGACTGCAAAAATATAATTTTTATGTTAGAAAACACCAAAAAAATAAATTTTTTTCGTGACCTGCCAATTGACAGGAGCTTGTCTGTCTCCAGATACCTTAAATAATTATTTTATCTATCAATTGTTAGGAGCTTTTTCACAAAAAGGTGTCACTATTTCCCATATATTTGCGTATAAAATGCGTATAAAATTTAGATTTCAGTTTTGACAAGAATTTTAAAAGTTTATACTCAAGTATCCCTCTTAGCTAATTTTGTAAATTTATTTTCAGGAGTTGGAACCAGTAAAAGACCCTGTGACGAAACATACCATGGCGACAAGCCATTCTCTGAAAGTGAAGCGCGAGCCTTGAGAGACATCATGGTCGCCAAGAAGAACCGCCTAAAGGCATACATTTCAATACACGCATTCTCTCAATTGTGGATGACACCATATGGAATAAGGAAAACACTTCCTCCCAACTACAGTGAATTGGTATTTTTAATTTTTCATTCGATGTCTCTACAGTCCTTAAAAAAAAGTTTTATTTCATGGATTTATTCTGATTTCCTAATTTTAAAAAACTTTTAAAGCCTTTTAAAGACAAATTAATAAAAACTAGACAATTTAAAAAACAATTTTTTTATTCGAAATATTTTATTTAAAGATTAGACATTATTCGTTAGTGTTCTTTTTTTTTGGAAAATACCTTATTTGAAAGTGTAAGTTACTGTTTAATTCCGTTAGAAAACATCTTAATTTAAAACTTGACATTTTAAATTAATATTTGATTTTCATTGGTAAGCATCTTACGTGAAAGGAAATTCATTTTCAATGGGAAAGAATATTAATTTATACAGTCGAGCTTCTAAGAGGACGCCACAACATGGAAGAAACTTTTTGTCGCAAATTCTTGTTCACCTCCATTACTAATTTAAAGTTCAAAAGAAAAAAAAGTACCGGGATTCAAACCCGGTTCACCTCTTTGGAAGGCGAACGATCTATACCCAGCCTTGGTAAGATTCAGATGTGGTCTCTTGAAATGCATGGAATTTAAGAATGGGGAAAAGATTCGTTCTCCTGACTCCTCTTCCCTTCCCGCTAGTCCTGCTCACCTTCTTAATTTGTTGAGAACCTCCTGAAGGCATCTGTTGGTAGAGGAGAAGACTTTTGATGTTCTTAGTCAACATTGTCTTTTGGACCTGGTGTAAGCTTACATACACCAAGGTGTTCAGTAATAACAACAACAAACTATCTCGAAACAAAATAGTGTGGTGCTGTAATCTGGTGTAAAGATTGAACACGATTCCCGGCATAAAAATTTGTTTTAACCATTTTGGCAGGTTACTTTTGAGCATGGTAACCCGGAAATATCAGGGGCACGAGAAATAGAAGGCGAAACTTCACCGCGTCACTTTGACGATGACGAGGAGGAAAAGGTTAATTATTTTACATGACTACCTTCAAAGAAACAAAGTTTTCAGACTAAGTAAAACTAAGCTTTGGGCTATATGGTAAAGGGTCCATAATGACCTAGGCACATGTCCTAAACTTGGAGAAAAGAAGAAAAAAACTAAGTAAAACTATGGTTCTTTTATCACGATTTTCTACCCAATAAGCGCATTGAAATGCAAAAATGTAACTTTGCAGTCGGGTGCGCATCAGCATGCACGAAAATTCAGTTTCGTGACCAAACCACTTTTCATAATCGAGTAAACGTAGTGTCAACCATAACTCTGGGTCAAAACACTAGTGTAATTATGGAATGCGAAAATAAAAAAGGAAATTTTTCTTTCAGACTCGAGTTGGACAAGCTGGTGTGAATGCTCTTGGAAGGAGGTACGGGACTCGGTACAGACTTGGAAGCATTTCTAATATTATTTGTAAGTATATATAATCTGGAACAGGAGAACAAATTTATTCCAATAGCTTAAGAAAAATGGAACTTGGAAAAAAAATATGGAACTCAATCTGTGTAAACTTGGTAAAATTGTCGTAATTACTTGCTCGAAATTTTTAACATGAAAATAACTTTTACCTCCAAAAATATGCGATATACGGAACTCAGAAAGAAATTCAGAACACAATTTGTCCCGCAGTGGACTGATCGTTAAGACACGGTTCCCAGCAGATCACCGAAGTCAAGCATCAATGGCTGTAATCAGTGTGCGGGTGGGCGACCACTTGGATCAGTCTGCGTAGGGACCGTGGGTGTGCGATATTGGTCCTCGTTAAAATGTTCAAGCGTAAAGTGCTCGAGTTCGCATGCAGGTCGTCGGGCTACCGAAGCAGAGGTGCCATCTCCTCTGAAGAGGATTAAAATTGTGATGTCATGTCTTCGGATCATCCTCAGGGATGTTTCCCAGACCGTCGCCAATAGCCCATTGTGCAGCTCTAGTGCGACGTAAATGAGCTGCAACAACAACGGAACTCAATTTCCATTCGGTAACATAGCTAACATTCTTTGCATAACATATAATTTGGAACAAGAAAATAATTTTTTCCCCTCCTAAAACCTTGAGTTACATGGAAATCAAAAAGAAACACAAAATTCAGTAAAATTACCATCATTACTAGTACGAAATTCGGAATACGGAAATAACTTTCGTCTTCCATTAACTTGCATTATTCCGAACTCGGTTTTGGCTGCTAACATCTCTAACATTATTTCCAGGTACATAATTTGGAATAAGGAATTAATTATTTTTGCTCCAATAACTTGCGTTATGTGGAACTTAAAAAGAAATAAGGAGCTCAATAGAGTCTCGGTAACATTATTAACATGATTTGTAAGTATAGTTATATTATACCTACGGATATTATAATATTAATGATAATTAGGAATAAAGAAAAAATTGTTTTTCTCTTAAATAGTTATGTTTGCATCGACTCCGTAGCATTAGTAACATTATTTTTAATCATATATAATTTGGACTACGGAAATGGTTTTTTTCATTCCAAATTATAGAACGATCTAGACATAATAATATTTACTTAAACTGTAAAAATTGTAAGAAACATAGAAAAACTTTTTGTGCTATCTGTTTCTCTCTATTTCCACTGAATTCATGCGAGTTGTAAGTGCACCGAGTTCATAAAAATTTGCAGCTTATGAAAAACTAAAAGTTCTATGGTTGGTCGCTGAGCAGCACCAGGGGTACAGGGATCTGCATGGAATTTCCTTCCACTTCAGATCTATGTCTGAATTGGAGAAGTGACCAAACAATTTGTGATGGCATGTATTCTGATCGTATTTAGGGATCCTTCCTTGTCAGCAGTTAATAGCCCACTGTGCATCAGTTCTAGTGCGACGTATATATAGTGCTTACTTACCTTATGTGTTGTGTTGTTTTTTATGTATTACGTTTTGTGAGTTCGATCAGATTAAACTATATAAATATATATATACTGAAGGCATCTGTTG